AAACCTGTTATACAGTATATAACCCCACGTAAGTTGGGAGTAGGGATGGTATCAGTCTTGACTTGTCTTGGTTGATGAGGAATCTGAAATGAGTGGAAAGGTAATAGGTTAGGCATGTTGATGTTACGGCCTCGTCTCGGGTCTGGCCACCGATCAGCTAGTCGTCTAGGTATTGGAATATCATGATGTCCAGCTGGCATAAATGGGCGGCAACAGTCTTTGCTACCCGAGTGGAAACTCCAGACGAAGTTGAAAGGCCGAATGGCAAGGCTCGGAACTCATACGTACTTCCCTTGTACATAAAGTGAAGGAACCTGTGGTCCCATTGGTGAAGGGGAATATGAAGGTACAGTACATTGCATTTGAAAGTTAATGCTGCGAAAAGGAATGGGAAAAAATGCGAAAGGAATTCGTATTAGCATTTTGACCACAACTTTTTCCACTGCGGATTCGCAGCGAATTGGATGCAAAAGGGGCAGACGATGTGCAAAAACAGTTCGAAAAATGAGCAAATTTTTCTTTTTTTATTCCTGAGAATTGAAGAACTTGTCTCTCAGACTGATTTTCCTCCACTTTCCATATTCAGAGATGCGCATGTTTAAACCACAGAGAACACAAACTTCCTGATGTCTACATGTACATGCACAAATACTACTTAATGAAGAAAGCTTGCAAAATTATTTCCCCACTACCAGCGAAAATCTGTGAAAATCTTTTCCAACTTGTGAGAAAAAGTGTGAAAAGCTTTTCTCACTTGTGGGAAAATCTGTGAAAAATCTTTTCCTACTTGTGGGAAAATCTGTGAAAATCTTTTCCCACTTGTGTGAAAAGGTGTGAAAATATTTCCCACTTTTGGCACACTTTGTGACATGAATACGTACTATAAGCGTTTAGGTGAATAATTGATGACACCCAAGATTGAACTAGAAGGGAGCGTATTACTCTCTGTATAGTTTCCATACGGAACTTCTTGGGGCGGATGTATTTTTCAGTGGTTTAAGATTGATGATGGGATACCATTTGCCAGGTTCTTTCTTGGGTGTGAGAAAGAATGTTGACAGGAAGCCATCCATCACTTGGATGGGTCATAGTTAGAGGATGGCTTGTTTTTGAAGCAGGGAGTTTAACTCCGCCTCCGGGGCCTGGTGTTTGTCTCTGTTGCGTGGGACTGGAGTCGAGAGTAGTATCACCTTGGATGGAGGGGTGCTTGTGATGTGAACTTTAGGGAGTATCTGAGAGACACAGTCTTGAGTACCAAGTTGTCTGAGGTGATTCCCTGCTAGAACTCTGCAGACTACTGCCGACAGGTTCAGAATCCATGTATGTTCAGTGCCCGTGGACTGTGCGTGCATTAAGTTTGTGAATTCGCACATGTGCACTAGTAACATATGGTCATCGGCCTGAAAACTGATATTCTAGCAGACGACGCATATCAGTGAGGAATTTGTCCTGCTACTTCCCTTAAAGACCTCGTGTGTAAATCAATTGCCATGAATCTATCGAATAGTGATATACAATAGCTTCTGATAAGAAAGATCTCCGGAAGTAGAAAACGTCAATTTACGACAGAGGATAATTATGAAAAATTATCGTTTTTTAGCAAACTTTGTTTCTAATTTCCCAATTTTGCCGGGTTTACCTTCAAATAACTTTGATGCCACATAAAAGACTAGTAACTCTTATAATCAAAAAAGTTTATTACTTCTGGGCAGAAAACTTTTATTTAAACTTCATTTCGTTTTCATTGGGACCCGTTTTTGTCATTTTCCGTGTTTTTCACCTTAATAATAAGTGCCCAATTTTCACACTTCTGTCGAATTTCCCTCGGGTCATCAGTGATACTGTCTGGAAGACTGGTGAATTGTTTGTATCCATCAGATCATTTCTTCAAGATTGAGAGCCATTTGTCTGATATGTGGTTCGTTTCTGATATGCGGAGGTATGTTAGAAAGACGGGCAAAAATTTGGCAGAAAAAGGATTTTTATAGTGTGCAAGTTAGCAAAGGGTACTTTGAGTATCCTACAATCGGTATGGTAATTAGGGGCAAACAACTTTTTCTGAGCTTGATGTTGATTGAGTACTTTTGGGGTCCACCTGTCCGAGTCAAGAGCCATGTTACTGGCTTTTGGCTATAGTGGGATTCAGTACGTATGCCACAAACTAAGTGAGTGGCATGAACATACGTGAATCGGGGGTCATGGGTAGCGAAATGATGTAGTCATTGACGATGCCCCTCAAAAGAGCGGGTGGTGTGTGATAAAAATCCTCGTCCAGAGTAAGCTTGGCTGGTTTTGGTGGCAGTATGGGATGCGGCTTAAAGCTGGCTTGGTTGTGGCAATGGGGGATAAGAGGAGTGGCAAGAAGTGTTTCCCTGGTAGGGCAGTGGTTTGGGGTGAGTCTGGCATGCATGAAATCGCCATGAGACGGGCAGCTGTTTCTCAGAAGGATAATTTATTTTGCACTGTAAGCAACAATTGTGTTTGTTATACTATGGTTATACTATATTAAAAAGGCAAGTACATTTGTCAATTAGCTGAATTTTTAGCTTCTGCGCATAGTTCACAAAGCCTTTGCCTCTGTCAATATTTGTTTGGCTGTTTTCTTTTATTCAACCCCAAATCCCATAGACTGTGCACATGTTTTATTCAACCTATCACTGTGGACTTCAAATCCTCCCCCACAGCAGTAGGCCAGCAGTAGGCCAGCATCCCTTTGCCGCCCAGGCCTGCCGGTGATGAAATTTGGTGCAGAACATTGGCAGCTGAGCAAAGATGTCAATGTTCCTTTTACTTCAGCAAAGATCTGTTCAAGCATGCTGTGGTGCAGTGTCCAGTCTGTTGGCTGTATCATTCCCTGAGAGAGGGCATCTGCAATCAAATTGTTGACTCCTGGGATTTGAGTTGCTTGAAGTTTGATCCACTGGTCCTGTGCCCAGAGGAACATCTGTCTGGTCAAGAGGCATCATCGAAGAGGATGGGTGCCTCCCTGACGGTTTATATAGCCCATCACTGTGGAATTGTCCGAGTGTATCAAGAGGCGTTTGACCTTGATGCTCGAGCGAAAGTATTGTAGCGTGATAAATGCCACTTGAAATTCTAGCACATTGATATGGCTCCCCTGGAATTGGAGCTCCAAAGTTCCTAATGCCTGGACGCCAATCCGAGTTGGGATACATTCGCGGTTATCATTACCTCTGGGTTTGCCTTAGGGAAAGTGATCCCCGAAAAAGGTGTATTCTCATCAGCCACCACTGGAGGTTGGGGTGGATGAGGTTGGTGATGGGAACTATGGGAAGAGCACTAGTAGGTATAGCTGTAGCGGTCTCATGTTAGTCGGCAAATGGGGACCAGGTCTACCATGCTGGCCATCAGCTCAAGGTAAGGCAGGAGCTGACTGTCTGGATGTGAAGACACTCACTCATTTTTTAAGGCTGTCTATGCGATTGGTCGGGAAGCGCAGTAAACTCAAACAAGCTCTCGTTGTAGATGAAGCAGAGAAACTTTTGGTCTTGTGGGTGGATCGGAATGTAAAGGTAGACATCTTTCAGGTCTATCGAAGATACCCATGCCAGGATGGGAAGACTGGGTTACTGTCCGGAGCATCTCCATGCGGATTTTCTTCGGGTGGATAAACTTGCATGGTTCTTTCTCTGGAGTGAGGAAGAACATGGAGATAAAACCCTTGTTCCCACATGCCATGGGGACGGGACTGATGGCTTGCTTCTGAAGGACAGCATCTATCTCAGACTCCAGTGCCTCTTGCTTGTTTCTCTTGAGAGGGATTTGAGTCAGGCAAAGGACAGTACAAACGGATGTACGGGTGCTCAGGAATTCAAGAGAATTACCATGAAGGAAGGTTGCAAGCACTTAACTGTCCAATGTGATGGTGGCCCCCGACAGGTTCAGGATTTGGGTCACAGGAAAATCTGTAAAGTTATTTGCACTGTCCCAGAATGAGCGGGGGAAGTGCGGACCGGACACTCTTCCCTTGTGACTCTTCTGCGACAACCTTTTAAGTTGAAAAGAGGAGGGACATCCACGACCAGACTGTTGAATGGGTTGACAAAAGTGTTGAAAAGAGCCAGAGTCCCCATGATGTGGGGCCGTTCTGTTGGGTTGGGTGCCGCTTGGTGGTCATCTGCTCGGTACTGACACGGTGGTGGAGGAGGGGGGTAATTCCCAAAGACTTAGCTTGTGGGTGGTATCAATTCACTTTGCCTCTGCCTCCATAATTTCCAGGAATTTCCCAGCAAAAAAGGTCCTTCCCGTAAAGCGGGAAATCTTGAAGTTCTGACTCTACCTCTCGTAGGGAATATTCATGGCATCACGCACATTGAATTTTGAGCATATATAGCTATTGCGGAGATCAATGCAAACTGTTCAAACACTGTTGATATTCTCATCAAGGGCCCGGAGTGCGATGGCTGCTAAATCCAGAGTGACAGGTCAGTCTTCCTTACAGGTGCGCCAGGTTCTCCGATAAAAGTAACAGAAAAGCAGTAAAGCAAAGACCTGGCCACGAGGCTCTATCAAGCTTGGTTAGGATAAGGTCGAGGGAAGCCTTGTTCTTGAATGGGTTTTTCCTGCTTGATCTGTGAGCATCTGAAGCCAGTTTATCTCTGGCGGTGACAGGAATATCCATGACGGAGAGGAAACTGGAAGTAGGCTGCTGCTTTAGAAATGTATGCACGCCATTTGCTTCAGGTCATTGAGGACTTTAGCCATCTCGACTCACAAGTGATCCAGTGGTAGTTCTGAGAAAAGAGGCATTGCGACCTCCAATTTAGCAAGGTGGTGCGACGAGGCCTTGGCCGTGGTAGAGGGCAGACCTAGTATCTGAATCATGTCTCTCTGAAGAAGACAGAGACGTGCTTTCCAAGGGTGTAAGGCTAGCTGCGGAGGTGACATCTTTGTCTTCAGAGGACCCACCATGCTCGGTGTGTGGATGATCCACGGTGTGGGAAATGTCAAAATCAGCATCACACCTGGGGTCCGGTACCAGTGCAAGAAGGAATAATGTAGCTGCTGTGGGCAGACTGGCTTGCAAGGGGTGGATGCAGACAAGGTTTTGAGGGTAGCGGATCAGGGTCTGGGGAGTTGCTGGAGGTGCAGGCTTCTGGCGAAGGAAGACGAGGAGTGTTTGCACTTCCTATGTCCCGGTGAACCGGTCGAGTCAGCAGATGACAATGGGTGGGCCAAGGTGTTGGAGGAGTAATTGGTTCATTGTCAGCTAAAGCAGTCTGATGAACCGTTGGGGTAGTTGCCTCGGAGTCGTTCTGCCCGGTAAGCTCCAAATGATAGCTGGATGACAGAGTGCATATGTGCAAAAGCCTCGACGGCGAAGCAGGCCGGTGGGTTCTGTTGCCCATCATAAGGACAGCATTGTGCCTGCGTGGCCCGACACTGTACTCACCGAGGCTGCCTCGGATAATAATGGGGAAGCGGCCCCCTTTGAAAGAGTGTCTGAAGGTGGTGCCTCATTGCATGAGGCAGTCAGACAGTCCCCTCTGTGTCATCGTTGGCTAACCCCAGTTCCAACCAGCCTGTGTGCTGGAAGAGCGGACTGTTAGCGTGGTAATCAAAAGTCTCAGCTTTGAACCTCAACACCGCGATCATGACTGCTGAGTGACTCCTGTTGGTCTGTGGGGAGAGTTGGAAACCGTTGAATGTGTTAAGCCCCGAACTGTCCCGGGTCACCCAGTTGACCCTATATAACATCACTAGGTGGCACAAGCCACACAATCAACGTCGGTAACCTACGAGCATGCACATACTAAGAGAGAGGGAGAGAAAAAATACTACACAAAACGACAAATAACACATATTTAGGAATAATATTGGAATCTACAGTTCATTATTTATATATTACAGAATGGAAACTCAAAAAAGCTAAAAGATGCCAGAAATAACAAGTCCATTAACAATGGCACTAAGAAAACGGATGAACATGGCAGCCGCTCCGCTATGTATCATGGGAGTAGAGGGTGCACTACAGTTGATCAAGCTTTTAGCGAGTAACCTAAGGTGCATATCTAGTGACTATTTGGGGTAGGATGAAAGCAGTGAACTTGAGTCGTATTCCTGAGTTGAGGCATTATGTAATGACGATGATATCGCATCACAGTTTATTGAATTTTGGAAATTTATTAGACTTTGACTCATCACACTTGGGTCACTCCTGATAGTCTACATGTAGTAGGAAAAGGCCTTAAGAGTGCTAAAGCATACAAGCATACATTACATGCTCATACTGTGCTCTCCAGTCTGTGCTAGCTATTTTCCCTTTGCAAGTACTGTCAACAGTAATGAATGCTGGATCTACCACTGGACTGGATGAATGTGATACAGGACATATTCCTTCAATTTTAATTAGCATTATAATGACTGGCATCTTTGCCCTTTACCAAAATTCTGTTGGCCTTAATAACTTTTTTGGCTATGGTGCCCTACCAAAGGTAGGGTGTCCCTAACAGTCTTTAGTCCGAGGGCTGCATGTTTCCTGCACAGGAGCTCCATGAAATTGGGACTTACAGTAACATTACCTTAGCAAATAATAAACTTGACAAATGACAAAAATGACTAGGGGTACCTCATCAATCTCTTTGATCCATCTGTCAATGCCATCAAATGACCACCGACTAGTGATGTCATAGACAAGCAGAATACCCTGGGCTCCCCTGGAATAGGAACGGAGAATCGTGCAAAACCTGCCCTGGCCTGAAGTATCCCTGGTAAATGGAACCAAAACAAAAACAAATGCCTTGAGTACTTATGTCATACATAGAACAAATTGGTTGAACTACAACAGAAAATGCTACATGTACCTGTATTTAAACATGACATAGTTTTGAAAATACAATAATCATATTATAAACAGAGCATTCATAAGACATGCAGAATCTGACAATATTTAGCATGCAAAAGCTTCAGTTTATTATCATCATTCCTGCTTATCTGGGTCCAATATGTCAACATTTCTTAATGCAATTTTATGTCCAATAACCTGGCCACAAAAACTATCTTTGCCCTATGATCTTCAAGATCACACCGAGATATGTTAAGAGTGGTTCAGAAGGCCTTTTCATATTTTTGTCTTGTGGACCCCCCTTTTTCACAACTTTAGACCGCACTAATCATAAAATCAGCATCTGGAGGGGCATGGTGGTTGTGTAGCTAATTTAGCTTCATTGTAGTCTTGGCCCAAGATGTTTGTTACCTGTGGCTACATTCACACTGTTTCACTAAAAATATTAAAGAGGTACTCAAAAGGCTTCAATTATTTATATATCTACGGTTTTGGAGATGCATTGGCCACTCAAAACCAATATACCATGAATTTATCCAATGAAAATCAAGATGAGAAATAAAAGGCATTTTCTTTCCACAACAACACGGCAGATTTCAAAAACATGCGAGGTCAAATTTGTGTTTGCTTTGATTTGATGACGTACTGGCAAAAAATGCACAACAGGAATGTATAAAAAAAATGTAAGCTGGCTTCTTTTTGATCCAAATGCTGTGAAATGAGATTTGATGACGTGTACAAAATACACAATATTAGACCTTAATCTTTTAGATGCATAAACCTGGAATCTTACTCTTAGCTGGTCAAAAGAACGTGAGATTTGTTCTGAAAAAAGGCAGTACAAGTCATTGAAGGTGGAGTAGAATGTAATGTATTTGTTTTGCATACATGTCAATGCGGGCGCACTCGTGTTCACATGCAGTGGCAACAGACTATTCATACACCATGGACAATAAAACGATCAGTGTAGGAGTATCCAGACCTGTATCAGATGGTCGGCCATAAGTATATGTAATGTATGATGCTTGAACAGCTTCTAGAGGGAAGACAACAACCCACGTACGTCTTTTTGTTGATGCATGTACAATTAATCTCCAACATGTCCAAATAAACAAAATCGCTAACAATAGTCTAATAAATGGCCATAACCTGCACACCTGATTACCATAGTGTAAAGCAGAATGGCCCGCACTGTTAGCATGCCATGGGTTGTGTATCAATTCAAGACGCTGTGTGAAGGCAGTTCCCGATCGGTCTTTCGACATGCACATACATGTGGCAGGTTCCTCCAAATATGGGCCATTAGATAATGTTCAACTTTGGGGGGATCATTTTTCATGAAGTGAAGGGCAGTGAATTAATTCCCAACATCTAATGAAATGAGGGAAGTCGTGGCTAATATCTGGAACAATGATGACTGTGTCCATCTTTCAACTTCATTAGAGTTGATTAATTAAAGTCTTGAACGTCAGCATTTCAGATGGACGTGACAACCTGTTGAAATCCTAGCCTATAAAATTTACTGAGGAGTGATAATCCCCGCAGTTATTTTACACAGATTTATATGTGGTGAAAGGTGATAATATTTACACATATTAAAACCATAATCATGAAATTAAAAAATACCTCTCACAATTAATTAGGTTTCTAAGTCGGTCGATTCTCTCAAAAAAATTGACTGCGATAAAACAGCTAGAAATCAAAATCGATGTACAACAAGCTTTTAAAAAAGTGCAAAAAAGTACCCGCAAACCATCCTCCTTCTACGACTGCACCAATCACATTTTCTACAAGTATGTTTCCGAAAATCATAGTCCGAAATAACAATCGTGGTGATTTTGCGGGTTCCGTCATTATCTTGCAGTGACGTTAGAGAAAAGTTTTGCTGCATCGTGGGCTGTTTGACCTTTGACATCATCCCAGATAGTGCAGCCTCTTTTTCATTTGATATTCATGAGTTCCTCTACGGAATGGTGATGCTCCACGGTTGTTCTCTTTGTACCAAGGATGTGGTACTCATTGATTGTTTTTAACACAATGAGGCCAGTGAAATTCCACTATCTAACACAGATATGCAATGTGGACGGGTTCTCAAGGTGCTAAACAGTTATGGCCTTATAACCATTCATGACATCTCCGAAATTATGAAAGAGGGAGTTTTGAGGCCCTGGGATCACTCGAGTCACATTTTGACAAGGTTACAGCAGAACACAAGCATGAAAATGAAAAAGCCCTCCAGCAAGTCCAGTCCTTGAAGAGAGCAAGTTACAATTCCATGTCAAAAGTAGTTGGGTTCAATTTGCATTGAACGAGAAGATAGCTCACAAAATTGCTTGAAGAGAATTTGTGAGTGGCAACGAAAGAAACCCTAGAAGTAGTCGTCAAGAAACTGCATAAAAAGAATTAACTTTTCCGTCTTGCCAATAAATCGTACATAAAAAAGAGGCCATAATACTATGTCTGTTTAAGCCTTGTATTTAACCACGCCAACAGGCATATGGTAGGCCTGTTCAATATCCATTTTTTCCCTGATATATCGTGAAAAAAAAATACCGATATTTGAAATTATCATGACTTCATTTTGGGGTGTTCGGGTTTTGGTTCATGTCAATCACCATTGTGTCACAAGGTCTGCATGCAATAAAGTCCGATCTCACAGTCCAATCCCCAATGGTACTGATCCCTGAAGCGTGTACTGGCCTACATGTACATGTACATATTAGTTTTTATCGGGCAAGCCCGACTCAAATTCACGTCTAATTTATTTTTTAATACCACGAAACGCACAAGACAACTAAACTGAAGATCTTTGAATCATTGTGATCGTTGAAGTATCCTTCACATGTGAAAATAAAACAATGAAATTACGGTATTGAGCGCTGTGCCATCTACCATCGCCGACGAAAGCAACGAAGTCGAGTTCAGCTGCCAACAAGTAAACTACCAACATCTGCACACGTACATGTACACGTGCATGCCCCTTACACGTGCCCATGGAAATCTCCATGCTATTGGGTGTCTAAAATGAATGGGCGGTACAAGCAAGCAGCAGCAACAGATAACTGTCACATGGTACATTAAAAGGAGCTGTCAACTGGATGAGCACAGAACTGCCTTATTTCAGTGGAATTAAGAAAACAAAGTTTATTTCTGTAGAAATTTGTATCCTTACAAACATATAGACCACGGTCGCTATGAGCAGCTTTCTTTTTCCATGTACATGTAGTGATGCGGAACCGAATTCACTTGGCCACACCCAGCATTTTACATAAATTAGGTTATGAGTGTACATGTATGTACTAAAAGTCATATTTCCCCAAAATTCATGTCAATATTACTTTGTTTGGAATTTATTGTTGTTTGCATTTTTAGCAATAACGTTCATCTAACTGCTTATAATGTTTTTGTTTTCAATATGTAATATCAATAGCCTCAGTACCTGAACTGCAGGGACAAAGTGCACGTTTTTGATGATACTGTACTCATATGGGATTTCAAGCTATTCATGGTGATAGACAACTAAGGTGGAAAGCTTGCGGTAGCACCAGGCAAGGGTACAATCTCTTTGTGAGTCTGTATGGTTCTGAAAAGAACCGTGAGGAACTCAAAGTTTCGGACAGTATGCTCTGTCCGTCATCAGGAGACTGATACTGCACTCATAGTGAAAAGGCTGCCCTCATTCACATGAACTAATTTGTGTGGTAAGTTGATTTATGTGATGGTACTGTAGAGTACTTCAGTTCATGTATGACCTGTACATAACACTATGTCTGCAGTCCAGAGAGCAGGAGATTGTTCAGTTTGTTCTCACTATCTTGTTTCATGAGCACTCCTAAAAAGTGATGTTATTAATTCCTTTTCTGCAGATCTTTTTATCCAAAGGCTGAGTGTATGACAGACAAGCTGCTCTGGACCACTGTTTGATATATTTGTACCACAAGATAACCCCTTTATCAACCTTGGCATATCCCAGGGATAAAAAGGCCATTTACACAAAAGTAGACTACATTTTTACAAAGTCCTTAACCAGTTCAAAAACAAACTGAAACTTTGACCAAATGAAGGCAAGATATGATGATTTAAGAGGCAAAAAATTTAAATACCATGGATAATTGCCCACAGAGTGAATTTGCCAGCCAAAAATAGGTGAAAACGTCCCCATTTTACAACTGGGGGGTTTTCCAAGGGCTCATAACTTCTAAACCAAATCTTCTGTGTTGTCAGTTTTCTTTTTACCAGTAGAATAATGTCAGACTAAGGGGAGCCCTCAAAAATTGAACTTTTTATTTCCGATTTTCAATAATTTCAACGTTCAGGGGCCAGAAACTCTGTAACCATACAATTTAAGCCATTTCTGATGGCAGATTCTGAAAGTCTGGGCACTAATTACCCAGGATACATTCATTCAGCCAATAATTCCTGTTCGTTTTTAAGAAATTGGTCTCCAAATTCCTTTCAATTTAACATTTATGGCTTGCGAGTGTAAAACGTGGGCGTGGCCAGAAATTTGGGAGAGTTCTCAAGAACCGTAAGGAGTAGAAGCCCAAAATTTTGCATAAGTTCGTGTTTCATGTAGATGTCTTCATAAAAAAAAATGAGCTAAATCTGAAGGGGTCACAATGGGACCTCTGGTTGAGTTCATATGGAATGACCCCAAAGTGTTAAAATCTCACGCAGATATCAGAACACCAGACGACAATACACATACATGTGTTATAAAATACTAAATGAAAATACACCCAATTTAAAATTAATGGGACAGAGGTCTATTTTAAACAAATGTGAGGTAAAATCAAAGGGGGTTATTTCTGTTAACTCTGACTGCCCATACAAGTTGTAGGCAAAATGAGACTGGTTTATGCATGTAGATGAATATGTCAGCGGTGAGTTGGCAGACGACTTGGAGGAAGCCAAATAAATTTG